ACTCCATTTCACATCTGAGTGGCAATAATAAATGCAGGATACAATCTTACACTGAGTCTTTGGGAATGTTTAATCCTGAGAAAGGCCTGGGAACACTGGGATGACAGCTGGCATGATGGGCATTCAAGAGGAGAGCTGTGTTACCTGTCTGCTGCTGCCAAGAGAGGGGAACTTCTCTGGTGCAGAGGTGTCTCTGATTTATAAACAAGGATCACAGGTACATGTTCAAAGCAAAAGCAGCTGTAGCTGCACTAGAGGTCTCAGTAAGCCAAGACTTGTAAAATGGAATCTATACACATGCTTTCTGAGCCTTGATTTAACCTTCATTTGTTCTGTGGTGACACGTTGTTGGACTGCACTGAAGCAGCTCCCAGCAGGTGTCATGGAGCATTGATCTGAGGCAGCCATGAGCTGGGACAGTGGCACTTCGAGCTGTTTCAGCTGGGACTTTTCTATCTTGCACAAAAGCAAAAATATAGATAAATTACTAGAGTTGCTAGGATGGTCTTTGAAAGGAGTGGCCTAGAGCCTGCACATTTACTCTTGCCTGTAATCTAAAAGTGAGGTTGGGTCTAACACAGCCACAGCCACAAGTGGCATGTGCAGGGTTGTGGGATTCCCTTGTCTGTGTGCTGCAAGTAGATCCATACACCCCTAAAAGCAGCACCAGGAGGAGTCAAGCCCAGCACCCAGCAGCACAGACAGCCTCTAGCACATGCAGTCCAGGGAAGCAGATGGTGATTCCCCAAACCTGGGAGTTCAAATCTGACTCTACTGCTCAGTGGATGAGCCTCCACCCTTGCTGTGTAAAGTCTCCCTGTGGCTAATGCCAAGTGACCAGTTGCTGCTCCCCCACCAAAGGGCTTCCATCTAACTAAACTTTTTGTCAGAAAAAACAGCTGTGTGTGTATCACTGCCAGTGCTGGACACGACAGCAGCTGGGAAGGGTACAACAGCCCCCAGCTCCTCCATCACGAGAGAGCCCCTCTGTACTATGACCTGAGACCAAGGTCACACAGCTCCCCTTGCAGTGGCAAGTCTCCCCCAACACAAAGGTCTCACCTGTTCACAGCTCTGTGAATCGGGGGATAGTGGAACTTCCCTGAGAGTGGGGACTCTGTATCACTTTATCGGCCCCTTACAAAGCACAGGCGATCGTGTCACCTGCTCCTTAGTCTCAGTATGACTCATAGAATCATAGAATCAGCCGGGTTGGAAAGGACCTATGAGATTGTCAAATCCAACCCTTGATCCACTACCATCACAGTTATTAGACTATGGCACTCAGTGCCACATCCAGTCTCTTCTTAAAAACTTCCAGGGATGGAGAATCCACCACTCCCCTGGGCAGCCCATTACAATGCCTGATTACCCTCTCTGTAAAGAATTTCTTCCTAATATCCAACCTAAACCTCCCCTGGCACAGCTTAAGATCATGTCCTCTTGTCTTACTGAGAGCTGCCTGGGAGAAGAGAGCGACCCCCACCTTGATACAACCTCCTCTC